GGAACTTGGATTCTAGATTTCAATCTTCAGTGGGATTCCGGATTCCTTGAGCTGTAGTCCGGATTCCAAAGTCCAGGATTCTGGATTCCACAAGCAAAATTTTCCCGGATTCCGGACGAAGTCTTATGACTCCTAAAATTAGCCTACGTGTAGCCGCACCCTCCCCCCGACAAAGAGGGGAGGAGTGCGGCTACACATAGGCTACACGTAGGCTACGTAAAGTGTGCAATGCATGTACTCTAGAGTTGTACTGCAAATTTCCTTAAGCACGGCTTTGATGCATTTACTGTAGCCAGTTCCTCCTCCTTCTCCTTATCAAGACTCCATCAGTTGAAGCAGTCAGCCTGTAAAGAAAACTTTGTAAAATTATTTTCTATTTTTTTTATTTATTGCGTTATTACTACCGCCCTGTCAAAATACATGTACGTAACACTGACTTTTTATCATGCATACATCTTTACAATAATTTTAATAACAAAAAAATATCATATAGTTGGAAATAAGTGGAAAACGAAGGGCCCTCTGACATGAAAACATTTTTGAGATATTCGTTAAGTTCTTTGAAATTTTCTTGAAATAAGTCTGCTATCGAGTTCGGAGAAGAGAGGTTCGACTATTGTATTATAAATTGAGTTCATCTTTTTCTCAGTTCTGGTCAACACGTTTTGTCAATTGTGAATCAACAAATTATACGCCGTTGTGCCTTTTTGATATCATTTGTGTGAAAAGGGAAAAATCACTTCTCGCCGTTCAGCAGCTATTTCGAGGATTTCCGCTGACCAAACATTATTATCCGAGGACACATGCAATGATTACGCAATCACCACGTGGCACCAATTTTCGCCGATAGTCGGTTAGACTGAATAAGTATACAGTGTATGTTAATTTTTCGTCATTTTCGTGTGTTGGACAAATGACTGGACAAGAGAACATCATCAGGAAAATTTTGAATTAATTTATCTTTTTTTGTCAGATGACATGGTCAATTGGTCACTTTTTTCTGCTATTTTCGGCCCCCAAACAGAAGAGTAGAAAATCCAAATTCTCTTTTTCACCTGCTTAGTGACTTCGAATCAAAACGAACTAAGCTCACTTCTCGTCTCAATCATCATCTCGTCCCAACTTATCAGAATTCACCTTAAAATACGATAATCCTACCGCGCATGCGCTTAACAAAAAGCGAACACCGGACTTATAATTACGCAAGACATTGAGAACTATAACATTTTTTAAGGCTTTTCGCCACTTCAACTCCTAAGAGCAAACGTTTTGAGAAAACGACGTTAAAAGGTTTATGCGTGTATACCACAAGCGTTAAAATTCTGTCGAAGTTCAATTATGTTTCTGGTATTGTGGGTCGGGTCATCATCAGTTAGGGTGATCCTTACCTGTTGCCCCTCGGGGCACAGTGAGGAACGTGATGAGAGAGAGGAAATGAATTCTCGTGAATTACACCTCTCGGTCCAGTTGGCCACAACACCCATCTGGTACCACCTCTGACCCCCTACTGATGATAAGCTACTTATCGAGGTTATAGTCATAAGGGTTCTTCTTTCGGAGATCGTTACTCATCACCATGACTCCCAGGGGATTTTTAACCGACCTGAGTGTTTAAAACACGATTCCCCATTTCCAACAGAAAACTCTTTGGCAAAAATCGTCCAAAACTTACTACAAAAACAACAACACAGGTCTGCAGTCACTTCCTTCAAATCGTGCAAAAAGTTTGGCACTGCCAATTTTCTGTTATGAGGCAGTAACTTATCCAGGTAAAACAAACAAATAAAACAACAACAATTAAAAGTCATTTTTGGTAATATTAAGTTTATTTCACTTCCTCAAAGAAAATATTTTTTAAAAATAAATATACTTTACACCTTTCTACAAAATCATCAATAGAAATATGTAAATTTTTACACTATTTACAAATGTCTTTTCTTCATAAACTCGAAGTTAAACCTGTTGACTTCGTGACTTGGCTCTTTTTAAGACCAGCTGTTTTTTAGGTAGAATAGAGAACTGTGGTAAACAGTCACTGGACAAAAGTGAAGGAAAAATATCAAGGCTCCTTAACTTAACACTGGATTGAGGATTCTCCACTAAAACAAAAATAGAGTTGACATGGCATGATTTTCCCTTTTCATATAAACAAATGGAGCAAAAGTGATAAAAGGTCTTTTCAGGGAAACCAAGATTAACGAGATTTGTCAAATTTAACTCCTTTGTCAACTTAGTTTTAAATTCTCATCACATAATGTTGCAGTTGAAGCCTCACGGAATACCCAAAATTAATTGTTTCATCTGGGAGTTCTTATAGGATTCTTAGCGAGATTCTTAATTTTCTCATAAAAGAACAATCTAAATATGTTCCACTGCTGGTAAGACAAAGATGATTTCAATGTATATTCAATCATCTGTGTTCCCCTTCTCTTGCAATGGCTTCATCAAGAAATATGCTTTTAAGGATAGACTGCCTAGTAATGTGCTGCACAGGTCAACCAATATCAGTCCAGCTATACCAAGTAAATGCAATGACACAAGACAGGACTTTGCACTGTCTACCGCACCTCCTGAATCACTTTCTAATTTAGGAATTCCATTGCCTATTGATGTGGTGCACAGGACAACCAATATTAGTCCAGGTCTACCAAGGAAATGCTATGAGACAATACAGGATTTTGCACCGACTACTGCATCTCCTGAATCACTTTCCAATTTAGGAATTCCATCCAACAGCTGAAGCTGAGGTAGAATGCTGAAAACCCTGAAACAAGAAAAAAGAATTTGGTGTTTACAATAGCTTTATTAAAACCACATTTCAATTGATTTCAAGACTTCATCACTGTCATTGTCAGAATTAAGTATGATCCCATTCAACTCAGTCCCATCACAATAACATTATCATTGAAGAAAATTTGGGTAATTTTGGCTCTTTTTTTCACCTTACTAATTTTTCTTATTGTTGTAGCACAAAGTCAAACCCACTTTTTTGCCACAAAAAGATCAACATGATTTTATGGAAGTTCACAATCTTGCAAATCAAATGAATTTAACGTACTGTTGCCTGTAGGTAGGGTCTAATTCCACTGGATTTCCTTTGAGAACAAGTGACTGAATCGTCGTCTTTCTAAGTACTTCCAATCCATTTAAACTTTCAACATTATTTTGCTGTAGTGACAAGTGTACAAGAAGAGGGGCTTTTGGAAGTTTCTGCCATTAGAAAAAGGGAAAAGAGAGATTAGTATTCAGTCCTTCATAAATACCATGCAATCTTAAACAACAGATTGTGAAAGAATAAGTAAATTGACAGAAGAGGTGAGTGAAAGAAGGCTCAAGATGACTCCTGATCTTATTTTAAATTCTCCCCCTGATTCTCATGCATATACAAGGCAAACTGAAAGGAGAACTTAGCAATAAATCAGAAGTCACTTAGGACTTTACACGAGGAACCTTATCTATTTTGAAATAAGGTTAGGTATTATTCTCACCTTTAAGTCTGTAATAAAATTTCTTTGAAGGTAAAGATGTGTACACCTGCAATATTATCATTAAAGAACAAACTTATTATACACTCGCAAAGATAAAGCCCAACAAAATGTAACTGGACAATAAAAAAAATGTAAAAATATTACATGGCTCCTTATTATAACATCAGACAAGAGTGATGCTTTCTACTACCCAAGCAGGAATCCAAATAGGGGAGGGGGGAACAAGCCATTTATACGTTTCTGGGAAACTGCCCACCTACATTGTACCCCTCCCCTAAGTCAACATTAACACTTACTTCTCACTTACAATGTACGCCACAACGTTGGCTTAGGGGAGGAGTAGGTGAGCAGTTTCCCAGAAATGTATAATGATCTGAGATCTATTAAGGGAAGTCATGGTAATTTTTTGAGTGCATGTAAGGCAAATGTTGCAGTCAAAATCTAAGAAAGCACACTGTAAAGACATAGATCCTGCTGACATTGTAAAAAACTAACCAGTTTTATCATACTGTCTGCAAAACTGTTAAAACTTTACAAAACCCCAAATGTACAACAGCTTTGAGGGTTTAATAGTTACAGGACATTCAAGAAAAGGTTCCCTGGTCTTTAGTAAATGCCATTATCTTTGGTGTAATTGGGAAATGGTTTTGTTTTCTCTGGGTATAAACTTGTCTCCCGTCTGCTTTAACCTTCACAGCAAGGTAAGTAAATTCCATTGGAAGGGTAAAGTGCAAAAAGAGAAAAAAGTAGCTCACCTTGGAAGTAAGACACTGCTTAAGTCTTGCAAGGAGTTCTCAATAAGTTGTAAATTCTCACATCTCATGAGCCTTCTGAGAACTCGCTGAAATTCTTTTCTCTGAAATGGATCCCCAAGGTCTTGGTATGACAAGTTAACAGACTGGAAAGAGACAAAGCTAACATAAGTAACCTGTCATACATGTATCTTAAGCTTGCTTGTATAAAATACTCTTACAATAAAATATAAAAATACCCTTAAAATAGCGACTCTGCTGATTCACATGTAAATGAATCCGTAAACTTGCCAGACCCTAAACACCACACTCAATCCAAATGGCCATATTCTCCATTTCCAACCACATGGCAAGGCGGCCATGCAAGTTTATTTACCTTTTCAGCCCCAATATCCAAATCCAAATTCTCTAGACTGATCTCCATACATTTCCTTAATGAATTGGTTAAGAGAATTAATTTTGTTTGTATATCAAAGCTTTTCCCATCAGGTGGTCATTTCATTAATTCCCACAATTTTCCCTTGATTATGTATTGATTATGTTGGGAGAAAATTGACTTTGGTCACTCTTGGGACTTGAGAGGCTAAACCAGGCAATTTTCCATGAAAAAAAAGAGATTAGTTCTCATCTAAGGGAAACAATTGTCATCTTTTCAACTGACATTGCTGCCATGAAATCACAGGCAAACCATTAATACAGGGAGAACAAAACAAAATTTGGAAGTTTGTACTAAAATGTTATAGAATAGCTACATTTAACATAGCTTGTAGGTTGATAAGTTGTACCTCGGCATTTTCCCAGTTTTCCATTTTGTTCTTGTAATTGCGCACTCTTTTGGGTTTATTTTTCTTCAGAGGTAAATGAATCCTTCCATCTTCTTCATCTGAATCACCATACTCTAATTTTTCTTGTTCATCCAGTTTTCGAAGATTTTCTACTTTAAATCCTTTTGGGTCTAGAAGGAAATGAAAAGATGGGCCCCCCCCCCCCCCCCCGGGACTCAATCCAACTGGCCATATTCTCCATTTCCAACCACATGGCAAGGTGGCCATGCAAGTTTATTTACCTTTTCAGCCCCAATATCCAAATCCAAATTCTCCAGACTGATCTCCATACATTTCCTTAATGAATTGGTTAAGAGAATTTGTTTGTATATCAAAGCTTTTCCCATCAGGTGGTCATTTCATTAATTCCCACAATTTTCCCTTGAATATGTATTGATTTTGTTGGGAGAAAATTGACTTTGGTCACTCTTGGGACTCGAGAGGCTAAACCAGGCAATTTTCCATGAAAAAAAAGAGATTAGTTCTCATCTAAGGGAAACAATTGTCATCTTTTCAACTGACATTGCTGCCATGAAATCACAGGCAAACCATTAATACAGGGAGAAGAAAACAAAATTTGGAAGTTTGTACTAAAATGTTATAGAATAGCTACATTTAACATAGCTTGTAGGTTGTTAAATTGTACCTCGGCATTTTCCCAATTTTCCATTTTGTTCTTGTAATTGCGCACTCTTTTGGGTTTATTTTTTTTCAAGGGTAAATGAATCCTTCCATCTTCTTCATCTGAATCACCATACTCTAATTTTTCTTGTTCATCCAGTTTTCGAAGATTTTCTACTTTAAATCCTTTTGGGTCTAGAAGGAAATGAAAAGAAAACAATATTTCAAATTATGGAAGGTGGTGTTATGCAAGGTAGTTTCTATTGCAACTTGTCGCACAATTTCTGTGTCACTCCCCCTTGTTCTTATTTCTTCAGACAGTCTAAATGAACCGTATCAGAATCCTCCTCAAATGTAAAGTGCTGGAATCGTTACTTTAGAATCTATGAGGTACTGCAACTATATGTTACTAAATAACCAGCTTGGGAAGTCCAAGGAACAGTTATCTTGTGTCAAAAGATCCTCAACTTTTCCCTGTAACAGTGGGAATTTGAAAAATCTCCACTTAATTTCTATAAAAGGGAGGACAGGGGGATGTTGGAATCATGCCTTACATTGGAGGGCAGGGATGCAGATAACAAAATTAATGAAATATCCCATGACCAGAAAATATGGCAAGGGATGAATTTAGCAGTCTTGCAGATTTTTTGTATTGTTTGACGCGGGCAAAAATTGAGAGCAGGGGTGGATCCAGGAATCCTTCTTAGGAGGGGGTGTACCACTAAAAAATGGCATAACAAAGAATAAAGATACAAAGAAGAAGGCTTTTGACTAGGCAATAACATAATGCGAACTGATGAGAATGCATATCAAATGACACAGCAGACTTCACGGCCAAACTGCCATTTTCGCGGCATTTGACATTACACCGTTTTTTTCAACCTTGCCTCATGTTTTACTTCAACACCAATAAACTACACAGTGCTTTTTTAGTAAAATACCAGTTGTATTAGAAAGCTGCAGGTCATCTCAGGGAGGGGTGCACACCGACCCTTCTCCTAGATCCACCCCTGAAGAGCACTGGGGAATATGAATACACAATCCTACTCACTTCTTCGTACCCTTGGTGACCGTAACATGTTTCCTTTCACATCCATATCTTCAAGCTCATGCCATTTGCTGTACCTGTATTTTGACGACGGGAGCTTAAAAATAAATGGCAAAGATTGCAAAGTTAGAAATACCCATGCTAATTTACATTTTTTTCCGTCATAACTTACTGTCAAAAGTTTTCCGTTTACACATTTTTACTGTTAACTATTTTTATAATCTTGCACTTTTCCTACTCAACACACTATAAGTTGAAGTACTGTAGGGCTAAAACTGGTCGTTTCGTAAAAAAGCTTACAGCTGATTTCGGAAGCAAAAACAACAACACATGTACAACAGTCCAGAAAAGTTTTTTAATACTGGCCTTATGCATAAAAAAATGTTGTAACAAGACAATACATCATCAAGGAATTTTAAGACGATCAACTGAGGATTAAGAGTTACTTAAATACGCGGGTAAAATTCCAAATGCAAGCCATATTTGCCGCGATTTGTCATCAAAGTTCGGTAAGTACAACAAGTGTACGGCTAATTGTTGAGCTGTGGTTTTTAAACATAAAAAGGAATCAAAGATTCCGATATTTAAATGAGATTGAAGTCTACATCACATAAATCTATTTTCGTTTCGAAAAGTCCAATACTCAACTCACCGGCAATGCGTCTTCTTCTTCGAAATTGCCATTCGGGTTCTGCTCCCTCGCTTCTTCTTGTGCGCGATGAACCGTAAGAACTACGATAGGCACAGAAGTGTAGTTATCCCTCTCGTCTTGCGTTGACCTAAAGTAATACAAATGATTCTTGCTATTTATGTGCCTTTTAGACTGGTCGCAAAACTAAACGACAAGACAAAGACACTTACTCTTCGGACATAATTGGCACCGTCATCTTTGCTGCCTGTGTCTCAGCTGTTCGCTATGCAAAGTTTGAGCTCAATTTTCATCGTTTTGTCGCGTAGTAGCAAACTCTGCTGTAGCCAGAGGTTTTGCCCGGACTTTACCGCCAGAATCGACTTTCGAAGCAAGCAGAAATAAAAAAGATAGTCAATAAGTCAGTCGTAGAAACCAAAATACTCCGAATTCGATTGTCGCAAGGGAGGTCCTTTGTCTTCTTTTGTCGTAATCGTTCACGGCACAAAGACTTTGTGACGTCAGTTACCTAGCAACGCAGTAAATAAATAAGTTCTTACTGCTTTGATAATCGTAGGAAGTCTGCAAATCTCTCTTTCATTGGTCAAGAGAGCTATTGTTTTGGGGTGTCTGGAATTATTTTATTTCGCTACTCAGGTGACAGCGTAATGTTTATGTAACTAAGCAGTGAGAAGTAGAAAAATAGCTCGAAACAGCGAAAAGAAGCCTGTAATTGAAATTCGCCGGTTCATCGTTTGCAACTTCTCAAATTTTGATAACAGACTTCGATTCCGTAAGCTGTGATATTTAACATGATGCAGCAATTGCCGTATTGGTTATCAGTCACAGATGAAAAGTTTTTAATAGTTTGGGACATGTTTCATAATTGGTTGAACAAGGAGAAGGATCTTAAGTCATTTGTTTTAATTTTTCAGAACTAAAATAGTGTTCGCACGGCCTGAAACCCAAGCTCCAGGGCCGGGTTGTTCATAAGATAACCCAGGGTTAGTGCGAGATTTTAATTCAGATTTGAAAGCTTAAAAAGCGTTTCTGTTCTAATTCTTGTTGTCTACAAGATGATAATCGGAAGCTCTAAAAATAAGAGAGAAAATTATCCCAGAAACTGCTTTAGAACACAAGAGTTAAGTTTAACCCAGGGTAAACCCTAATCAGCCTCCGAACAACTGGGCCCAGTAATAAATGCTGCATCTAGGAGGGTGGTCCTAATAGTACATAAAGAACATAGGTGATCGAAAAGTTGAGCGTAGATCCATTGGAAATTTTAACATGGCAAATCCTCGGCACGGAACATTTTAAAAATACAGCCTGATTGAAAACGGCAAACCGAGCAACAGTATGGATCAGAAACTGAATGGCATGGTATTTACAGAAAATTGTTTTATAAAAACATTTTTATTACAATCTGACTGACTGACAGTACCCTATACAGTACAAATGCAAATAATATCAGCTTCTCCTCCCCCTCCCCAAAAGTTACTTTTTAACCCCTAAGTTTTTTACAAGAGGTATAAGAAAAACCCTTGAGCTGTTACAACAGTATGCGATTGTCTAACTAGAACTAAACGCTTTTTCTTCACCAATTAACTTAAATTGCCGTGCCAAATAAATTCAAACGCCGCTCTTTTGCCGTATGTAATTCATCAGTTTGGTTCGGCATGTTCACATGAGTGGAGCGGCGTCTGAACCGGGCCTTAGCTACCATATTTCTTCATGTGCAACTCTTAAAATGTGAGTCATGCAATACAGTCAAACCTGTATTAGGCGTTCACCCTAGTAGTCTGCTACACAGCCGTTTTTAGTGTCGTCACGCAACGCTCTTCCCATTAGGAGCGTTGCGTGACATCACTAAAAACGGCTGTACAGCAGACTATCACCCTAGAGGAATGGCAAAAAATAAAGACGGTCGAAGAAAGAAATATCTACCCAAGACAAAATGAACTCAAAGTGCCTCTACCTCACCTTGTGCCAAAAAAAGGATGTAAGAGAACAAAAAATGCCATACTTATTATATCTGTTGCACTAGTATGGGAAATATTAATTATTGTCAAACTGACCATCTAACAGAGGTGAAGACAATAAAAAATATTTCATTGGGACTGCAGAAATGGTGGCCGTGACTACTTAATACTGGTCATTTTTGCAGTAACTGACGGAAATGATTTCGGGACTTTAAGAGATGACTGCTTAATAGAGGTTCAGATTTGACTGTATTGGCATTCCTTGCTGAGCACTCCAACTTGCAGGGTTCTATGTAGGGTATTTAAGGGGTAGAAGCTTCCCCACCCCCTCCCCCCCAAAAATATTGTTATCATTACAAAAGTAACTATATCGGGAAAATCATCCAGACGCGACGAGGTCAGTGCAACATTTCTCCAAATTGTGTCTCAAAATGCACTAGATTGCATCTCAGCGCATACTCATTTCAAAAAATTTCCGGACCCCCCTAGGAAGCTCCTCGCTTTTCGGCCACTTGGCACTTCTCCCCCAAAACTATAAATCCTAGATAGAACCCTGCTAAGTGGTACCAAAATCTGCCCCTTTCAAATGGGAATCCCCCAAAGTCAGGGGTATGGGAGGGGGAGAGACCCTTCACTTCTTAAAATCAGACAGCAACGACTAGCGCCGTACATCACGTTAACTATTAACAATAACATGTCTTAACAAAACCCTTGCATTAATATACAGTTTATACACATTTTGAAAAGCCTCCAACCCGAAACAGGTTTTGACATATTTTACCCCCCAAAATTATTTCCTACTTTAATGTGCACTATTCGCTCCTATCAAATGGACATCTGAAGCTGAAAGAAGTCAGCCAAAGGTCTCTAAAATTTCTTACATTAAATCCCTATAGCAATACAGAGCAAACAGAAACAAAAATTTAAAGATCACATTGAATTGTGCACTCAAAGTAAAGAGGTTTCAGATGAGGTTGAAGATTGATCTTCATACATTTCCTTTAAGAATTAGTTGAAAAATAACTTCCTTTTGGGGAATCGATCGTTTTCATCAACTCTCAAAATCCTTACTCTTTTTATGTACTGATATCGCTGGGAGAAAGTTAATGTTGATCATTCTTAGGACTTAATTATTAAGTTAAGTGTTATAGGCCTGGTTGTCTTTATTATCAAAACATAACACAACAAGGACACTGTACATGTCTAAAGCCTCTCAAGATGCCTAAAGCTAAAGATAGGAAGACACTAAGTTTGAATCTAAAATTCAATAAATTGATCTTTTAAAAAATCATTAGGCTACAAAATAATTTGAACAATTTATACCACATGAGAAGTCTTTCATTATGCATTTAGCTCCTGTGTCATCACATAATTCTGTGATAAATAAAATCTAGGCCCTCTGGAAATTCCACTTATACAAAAATACTCTGACCATCCCGTGTTTTGATAATTCCATTGCGCAGTAAAAACATCTCAAAGAAATTTGATTCAGTGAAAAGTTAAGAAATCCCCTAAGGCATCAGCTGTAACAACATCCAGGGTTTGCACAGAAATGTTTGGTCAGTAAAATTTATTTTACTAATGCTGTGAACAGCATGCAACCTCTGAAGTTCAAATGCCCAGTAATGACTGTTTGCTGTGGTTGGTCATCTTAGAAGCCTCTTGGAAAACAGAAGTTTACTTCAAGTTGAAAAGGTCATGCTTAGTGATTTTTGATTGGAGGATTTTGATCCATTTTACGCGTTCTTGTGTTTTAAGGTTCATGCTTGTGATTGTAATTTTGTTGGGTGACAGCAAAAAATGCAATAAAATATTTATGGTGCAGTCGGCTTTTAAACTTCAGAGTTCATGTGTTTTGAAGAGGCACTGTAATATGCTACATCTCAGAAGCCTTAGTTCCGAGAGTGAGATTAACTACTGTGCAAGCCCTAGGATAGCTATAAGCTAAAAACCAAAAAGAATACATCAAAAAGACATGCATTTTGGCCATGACCCTTCTAATGCCTCTGCCAGTTCATCAAGATGATGGTTACACTCACTTTTAACCCTTTGAGTGCCAATAGTGACCAAAAACAATTTTCTCCTAATAATATCCATACATTGTCAAGAAATAAAGTTATGAGAATTAATAAAATGATCACCAAAGGGAAAATGCCATAATCTTTTATCAAATTCTCTCAAGTAATTCTTAAGAAAATCTATGGAGATCGGTTTGGAGAATTTGTATGTGGATATTGGGGCTTAAAGGGTTAACCACAGCTACATTTAAAACCATCATTCTCTCTCTGGCTCATGAAGCTAAAAGTAGATCATGATGATGGTGTGCTGATTTTTTTTCTAAAGATACCGTTCGTCTTAGTGTGAACCTCACAGCATTGATTCCAGCGGCTCCTCCAGAGCTCTGCTGAGATGAAGGGGGTGATTGCGTGGATGAACCAGAGTCAGAGCGTGAAAGTTGAGACAACATAGGGGGAGTGTTATCCATTTCATCCTGTGATGACAAAAACAACAACAACCCATTTTGTCAAATTACATTAACTTATTTGAATGTTCAATAATGTGGCTAGAGCCGACAGCCAGCCATATTCATGAAGCTAGTAAAAGCAAGAGAAGTAAACAAATAATGCTTGTAGAAGAAATAAATGAGAAATTTACAAGCACAAAATTGTCAAATTTGTGTCGCTGCTTTTTGAAAGGTAACTGTGAAAAATAGTCAATATTGCAAATTTTGTAGTTTTCGCAAGGTCATCGTGAAAAATTGTCAATTTTGTAAATTGTGTAACAGAGTTCAATCCTAAACGCAAGTGTTAAAGAGACAGTGACAGCAGCAACTATGGGCCTTACTCTGTCAGAATGAATGGGTTACTTCACATCAACTTTTACTAGCTACTAGTTGACATGTATCAGTATGGGAGATAAAGCACAGTATCTTGGGATCTTATATTTATGTTTTATTTAAGCCCAGCCTTGATCCACAGACAGAACTGGGTAAAAGCAGTTTCTAACAATTAACAATAATGGACGAGGTTGAGCAAAATATTGTGATTTGTCTGTGGCGAGGAGATCTATATGATCTGCGCGACACTGACAAATCAAGATATTTTGCGATAACTGAGTTCAATAATAATGTTTTAACATTCGATCACCGAGTTTGTTTTTTAATGAATATCCTTGGGAAGTCAAGCAATCTGCCATTTTTACGCAAAAATGATCACAAGAAGGAGAACAGCACAGTTTCCTTTATGAATGAGCAGCATACTATTTGCAGCAAAACACAGTTGGACGGCATTGCGCATGAGCAGACCATTATTTGTAGGCAGTAATTTGCAGGACACACGGTGGGCTCTCGGCCAATGAAAAGAAAGAAAAATTTGCCTCGAATGATAATACACATTGATTACTGACTTTTGTCTGTTTTATTTCTCATGGTGTTGTAACTTAATTGTCGAATAAAAGCAAATGACAAATTTGAGCACATTTGCAAGACTTGCCTGCTGTGAATCCGTGGAGTTTTGTGAATCCGAGTTTTGCAAATTTCTCACCACTCTTCCACACGGCGGACAGCTGTAAAATAAAACAGAAATTAAAAAAGTCATTTCTCCCTGTGTGAATGAAATTAAAAAGATTGGGGTAATTCATTATTGGCTAGCCATGACCAAAGGATTTGTAAACATACAGATGCCTAGTTAAGGCCAACATCAGTATAATGAAAAATATAAGGGATTAACAGATAGGTCATAGCATGCATTCCAGTCTTAAGGATAAAATTGGTATAATTGGAAAATACAATGAAAGCAAAACTCTTTTATTGACAACATCATGGCTATGAAAAACATTTCCTGAGCATCACATTACTATCACTGGTGACTATGCTTAAATTCATCCATGAAGTTTTACAAAATAATTTGCTCCAATGCAATTTTTTTCCCAACACCTGCCATCCATTAAAGCTTTGATATTTTGGCTTTCTGCATCACTTTACTTGGCAATTTCTCCTGTGGAGGGGGGAAATTGATCTGCATATTACACTACATGTGCATGGACATGTATATTTTTTAATTGGAATCAGAGCAAAAAATCTTTGTTTTCAAAAATAAATATTCAGATAAGTGACTGAGGATGTAATCAGTGCAAACTGACACAACAACTGTTAACATTGTTGGGTCAACAATGTTGGGAGTTGTTGTGTCCGTGTTGGCAGTGGTGTGCAATTGGATGCAACAATGTTGGGACCTGCAGTTCATTGAGGGAAGGATGCAACCCATAAGACTTTGGAGACCATGTACAATGCGCAAAAAAGGCCCCTACAAAGTTGGAAGAACTGTGCAAACAGATCAAACATTGTCGAGCTTCACTCAGTGATATTTTTGCAGAACAAAAGAAATGTTGGGAGTTGTTGGCTCAAAACTTTGTCCAGTTTCAAACTTTGTGTATCAAAGTAATCCCAACAACATGCAACAACATGCAATTACATGTAACATCCAGCAATGTTGGGAGTTGTTGACCAACGGTGTTGAATTCGTTTGCACAGGCTTTACACAGAAAAATAAGGTTTTGTCTGTCATTCAACTCTTACCTGGCCCTGTATTTATCAATTTGAGCCTGTGGCACTAAGTCCATTAAATCTAGGCCTTCTTTGATCTTAAGGAGCATTTCATATTTTTCACGCCCCTTAACCTACAGCAAGAGGAACATTAGAAACATTACAGCTACAAAACACTTGCAGATTAAACTTTGTCCCAGCAATGAAATTCATTAATAAATTATTTTAACCATTTCACTTACAGTTGGTGGCTAAAGAGAAAAAATAAGCACAAAAAAAACCCCAAATTTTTAGCCAAATCCGACACAAAAAAAAAAATTAAAACCATGCGTGCATTCATTCTGCCAACAAAATGGTGTCATTTTAATGATTAAAACTACAGGATTTTGTCAACAGATTTAAAAGTTACAGCGAAAAATATGGACTTAAACCCCATTTATACGCGCTAAAAAAATTGGCACGGCACACCAAATTTTTGCCACTGTGCTGATGATTTTAAGGCACAGCACTCCCAATTTTCGACGTGTAAACACATCGGTCCCAAATGAAATGTGGCACCAGTGCTCAAGATTTTAGGGGTGCTGAGACTACCTCCCAGAGGTACTCTCACCACGGGAAATGAAGCACGGTGCCAAAAATTTGGCGTGCCGCGCCGATTTTTTAGCGCATGTAAATTGGGTTTAAGACTGAATGGGTTAAATTTATCCAAAAGGGCTGGGTTGTTCAAAGCAGGGTTAACATAACCCAGGGTCAGTAAGAAGTTTAAAATTCAGATTTGAAAGTGGCTTAACAAGCAAATTCAGTCTCACTCTTTTTGCCTTCAGTGAATGCCATGATTTGATGCTCTATGGAGAATAGAGAAATTACCCGAGACAATCAGTGTTTTCAAAATCAGCCGTCGGCCGTCGCATCCGACGGCAACTTTTTGATTTGCGACGCCTACTTTCCCTTAGGTAAATTATATGATAAATAAAACTTTTGAAAAAAAGTGGTAAGTGTTCACAAAGCTGTTGCGAGCAAGCAAACTTGAAATTTTTCTGGAGAATTTCGCCAAAACATCGCTTGAGTCTGCTTTTAAAATACGTTCTCTGCGTAATACGTTGAGTAAACGTTGAGGACGAGTCGAAGACTGGGTCTCAGTTACAGGGAACATTGTAGTTAGCGGTTTCTGAAGCCACTCTATATAAAACGCCACATTTCGTCTCCAAGAACACGGCAAAATGGCAGAAAAGCGACAGCGTGGTTTACGGGAGATGTGGTCGCTGACAGTGACAAACAGGAAAAAGAAAAAGGATGCTGCAGGTAATAATGTAATGTTTTCCCGAAGATTACCCAAGCAGATGCCGGTACGCAAACGGAAGAGGAAATAGTTCAAATTGAGGAGAAAGAACAAGAAGCAGTGGTAGCAAAAGTCTTCTGCCTAGATGAAGAGCATGGCGAATCGGACGACAGTGAAGCACATGACAGTGGATGGGAGGATGATGACGATGATAGTGAGGACTTTTCTGACTAAAAGTCTTTTTCTCAGATGACAAAGAATCTCCATGTTTTGACTTGTAGATACTACCATATTTCACTTCAATTGAATGATGAAGTAGGACTGAACGGTGTTTGTGATCGATAAGTAATAAGGATATTCAAAATTGTAAATTTTGTTTGAGTTTAAAACAGTTCGTGTATAGCTTTAGTATGTTTTTCAGCCTTTTCCAGGCATCAAGAGAAGGCCCAGAAAAAATGCTGCTGTCTAGACTGGACAAACAGCTATCCAAGTACATGGGTCTACATGAACAAAGTATACACAAGTAGCTTTTGTTGGTTATTGAAAATTCAATTACCTTCGCTGTTTCTTAACCACTTTTACTTTTTTCAACCCAAATTATGTACTAATCTTTAATCTTTAATCTAATCTTTAATCATTATTTATACACGGTAAAAATCATCAGGTACAATAAATTCCTATACAATGACTAACATACTAAAGGCTTAAAATCCAAATCTTAACATTAAATATTAACTTACAACAATATGCCACATAAAAACCCTGATTGTGGTTAAAGCGTACCCTAATATTGTGGTTAAAGTTACTAAAAGCATCAAAATTTATCAGTATTTTCGATATCTAAAATTTGCTAGTTCTACGTCTCAAAATGCGGGAAAATGCGTCTCCAAGAGTCTAGAAATTCAAAATTTCCTGGGGGGACATGCCCCCAGACCCCCCTAGAGAGCAAGGCCCTCCGGGCCTTGCAACTCCTACTCAAATAAACGCAACTCCTACTTCAAAAACTGTTGAAAACCCTGAAAATACTCTTGAACAAAAGAATAAGAAACCCAGGTTTAAATTTCATCCCAGGTTAGTGCTAATCGGACTTCAAACCACTGGGCCCAGTGTGCTGGAGTGTGACAAGCATATATCAAATTTGTAATTTGTATATCAGAACAGAAAAATAAAAATGATAAAAACTAATCGTCTGTCACAGAGACCTAATCAAAGAGAAATTTGTTCATAGAAAAAATAAACATAAATTAGAACAACATCACATCTCTAGTCCACGAATCAAACGTTGAAGCCAAAAGGTGACTAGTACTTGAAAATAAACTCACTTGTATTGTAAAAATCTCCTCATCTTGAGTCTTAATTTTCTTCAGAGGATTTTTATCCACAGTAACAGCACGAACCTCAAACCCTGATGACAAAGAGGAGTACGCTGCAGAAACAAGAAACAATCATTTGGAATTTGAAAAAAGCTATTACTTTTTTTCTATGTTGACCTTTGGTAACAACATGTAGAAATAAGGGATTAAATAGCTACAGTCTTAAACAAAAATTTTAAGAAAAATGGACATTTCCATGTCTAGTACGTATCAAGATAAAGCTCTTGAAAACACAGGCGGTTACAAATACTCCCTCCTCGCCCCCCCCCCCCCCCCCGAAAAAAAAACAATGTTGAAGTCCTGCTCGATCATTTCTGACCTCAACTGAACAACATTGACCACCCTAGGGTGAGGGGTGGGGCCTCAGCACTATCTGCAAGATTGGCATTCAGACTTGGCGGAGAGAAAATGCAAAATTCTTAACAATGTTTGTCCAAGATTGTAGCCTTGTATTACGCATCCCAGCAACAGGAAAAAATATCATTTCACAGATTGTTGGTTTCAGCCTGCAGTTTAAAGAAATTTTTGTAACTTAAGTTTCACCACAAGATCAAAAATGATCAAACAGAACTTGCACAGTCAGTTACATTTGTTATTAATAAGGTCTTTAAAAAAAGGTTTCTCATAACTTGACAAACTGCCAAAAACATATTTTAACTGAAATGTGCCAGTCATAGATAGTCACAGTTAGTTCACTGTTAAATCAACTTATCAGCAGATTTTGACAAAACGTACCTTCACCTTCCTTCTTTGTGGCTGTAGAGGTCCGATGGTTCACTTAATTCAACAAAAATTTGACAAAATATAAATGAAACTATCCTACCACAGAGTGAAACCAACAGTTTGTGAAATCTATGACCCAAGACTTCTGGGGATAAACAGTAAATCTTCGCCATCTATATTGAGCACACCCATCTGCACTAGGATGATAAATCAATAGTGTTCAACTCACAGTACCATCAAACACCCACAAAAATTGTCCATGTGGCCAAAGTCCAAAGCACTAAAATGTCCCACATAAGCAGGCTCATGGTACTTTTCAAGCGTGGTAACGGTAGGACTAAACAAATGGCAACAGAGACCATCCTAGTGTTACTGACTTTTAATCCTTTAAGCCCCAGTATCCATGTACAAATTCTCCAAACTGATCTCCATACATTCCCATAAAGATATAGTTGAGAGAATTTGAAAATAAGATCATGGCATTTTCTCTTTGGTGATCATTTTATTAATTCTCATAACTTATCTCTTGACAGTGTATGGATATTGTTAGGAGAAAATTGATCTTGGTCACTATTAATTGGGACTTAAAGGGTTACGCCAGTGATCACCATTATGCTTTAGTTCACTTCTATCTTATAAGATCAGGAATTAAAAAATAATCTGCATACTCACATCGTTTTTTGGATAGTTTTGGTACTGGTGCCTTGTTCGCTTCCCCTGTGCTTCCTGCAGATGTTGATGGCCCCTCAGCGGGGGGGCTGTGAGGAGCTGAAATCACTTGAGGGGTAGGAGGTGGGGTCATGTTGGGAGTTGAGGTACGGATCGGTTGCACTTGGGTCTCGGATGAGTTAAATGTTGGGTCTCTTTCTCGTCTTTTTGCTTCTGCATTTTCCTCAATCCCTCTGTCTCTCCCAGGACAAGCACAGATTCGGACATTTTGAGCTTTTCGCCCTACAACTCTATTTCTGGAAGTAAAGGATGAACAGTGTTAACAGTATTAACCCATTTGCAATTAGAAATTTTTCCAAAAAATGCTTGGCTCTTTGCTCGTACATTGTAGTATGTCCAGCCAAAGCAAACCAAAACTGTGCAAAATGCTGTTTATATCTTGAGCACTTCATGGCCCTCTGTTCCTGATAGTAAATATCAGCTTCTGAAGTTCAGGCATGGGCAGAAAAAAAATTTTCAAAAATAAAGTTTTGGGGTTTAACTGTCAAAGCTACCTCCTCAAATTTTACCTTTCCTTTTATTCTCTTCCTCTATTCTTTTACTTTTCTTGCCCTGTTTTTGTTTTTTCTTTTTGCTGTCGCTATTAACAAGGAAGTGTAGGTTGGTAGTGGAACACATAGGAATGTTTTCAGTCAACTGTAGATTTTTTTTAATTTTTCTCGGGACTGTTTGAATAAATCATACTCTTTTGGGGATGGTTTGAAAGACCTCTTCCCCCAGCACAAGTCATTGTCAAAGTTTTGCATGATTATTTGAAACTGATGATGTCACAAGCAGTACAAGAAATGGGTTTAATACCCAGAGGTGTTTGATTTGCAACAGCCAATTGAATGAATTAAATTTATAATATATAATGATCTATAAGAAAAAGAGAACTGTGAGACCAAGCAATCAAACTCACCCATATTCTAAAGTAAAGATCACCAGGATTGGACGCCTGTTTAAGCCTCCTGGACATGAGCTAAAGCACATCATTTGAAACATTTCGGTGACAAAATCACTTCCAGCTATGAAAAGCAAAACATGAAAACAAACAAACAAAATCAATCAAAGCTGCCTTTTAAATCAAAAATGCAAAAGAAACGCAAGCTTTTGTATGAACAAGAAGACAAAGTTCTTTTAGCTATTGTGCTTGAGGTGCTAGATACAATACAGTGCCAAAGCACATGAACAGGCATGCACCTGTATTTCCCTTCTCTGCAACACTTTAATCACAGCATGCTTAATGGAGCAGTCTGGTTAAAAGGATTACTTTTCCTTGATTTAGACTCTTTCTCTTAAATATCTAGCCACGATTTCATGCAATCAAAAAGTGACTCAATAATTAAGTTACAGTCCTTAGTTCAATAATTATTTGTGAATTTTTGGATGATGATTTTTCAAATGTTTTTAATGTGTAAAATTTAGGGGGGAGATGAGCAAAATTTGGAGAAAAAAGGAAAAATATTGGATTTGGAGGTTGTTAAAAACTGAAATGTGAAGTGAAAAATTAGTAGACAGTTACCAGATAGTCTGCCACCTCAACAAGGTGCCTCTGATCCCATTAGCGGACTAACTGGTTCATGCACACACCAATTCTACCCTCATATATCTCCTTCCCAAATCAACATCATTTCCCCCAAATTTTAACCAGACTCCCCCCTTAAGTCAGAGAGATTTTCAAACATGCACATCCCGCGATCTTATATTCACCATGGCATACATGTAAGACGTCTTAAATTACTTGCGGGCGGCAAATCTAATCTCCAGTTTTTTATTGCGCATACGTTGCATGTATGTAGCCATCATTTGTTTTTCTTCCACTAAGAATGATTGGAATGCACAGGAAGCAATTTGATCAGGCAAGTTTGGACCTTCTTTCACTCATAATCTGATCACGCATGTTTTGACTATCTGGCACGTGAAACTTATGCAGAAGCACAGCAATGGAGCAAAAGCGTTTTGACCTAGTTTGATCGTTGTCGTCCACACTCCACAACCTTTGGTTATCACAAGTTTTAACTAAAAACAGGAAAGAGCCCTCTACCTTGAATTCCAATTCATTATGATAATCCCAAGGGAAGATCAGTCAGATCAGTAAGAAACCCCCTCATCATATGCTACTAGGTACTCCAGTGATTTTGTTACAAATAGTTATGGTAAGTCCTGGGACTCATCTTGTGAAAAATCACGAGTCCGGTCCACAACCAATGAGTCCTAAATTGAAAATGCTTGGGCCTTAACGTGACCAGACAGTTCATCTGGAGACAGATGCCAAAACACTTTATTACAGTTAACTGAAATTAAAATATAGTCCTTCTATATATTTAAAGCACAAAAAAGACTAATCCTTGAGGTATTTCCAAAAGGGAAACTCCCAAATTATCACCAGGGTGCAAAGAAAGTGATTTTTTAAGCTTGCCACTCGGACAAGCTGAAGCTAGCATATATACTAGCCCAAACGTCATTTCAACGAGCTCCAAAAACGTTTTGATGAGAGAATTGGTTTCACAGTTCTTCTTTAATTTGAATTCCTCAAAAAACTTCACTTGCCTGTCGGGCAAGTTAAGTTTAAAATTCACTAGCCCGATAGCAAAATTCACTAGCCCTGGGCTATCGGACACTACTTGCTTTGCACGCTGATCACTTATACTCATTTTGTGCTACTCCCAGGTCAGGTATATTTTTCAGCCATGCCTTCATTCTCATTCCTTATTTTATGCTAGAGGTACATGTATTTATTTTTAGAAGCCCCTATATTATTACTCACCTTGTGCTACCCCCAGGGGTATCTTTAAACTGTGCCGACCAGTCTCAGGGCAGGTCTCATACAGAGTTTGTGGATTTTCACATCTCAGTAAATGCTTTGGAGCATGATGCCCTGAAAAAAGAACAAGTTGAGTCAGAGGACGTCAGTCTGAGGAGTGGGATGTTAGAATTATAACTAGAGACCTTTATTTGAGGACGAGGACCACTACAAGTCAGAACAAGACTTAACTCTACGTTTCATCATGTATTCATTGTCACACAAAAGAGCTTCATTTTACTTTTTATCACCAGAAAAGTTGATGAAGTAATTTTTATTGATGAAGGTGAAGCCCCCTCCCAATTGCAAAATGATAAATCTTCTAAGTTACATTTGAACACTATTTTCATCACTACGATATTCTAGATAAACCCGGAGTAGAATGAAGATGGCTGTGAATTTTTTCCCCAAAAATGATCGTTCACACTTATGCACTACTTGGTGTTGAGAGAATTAACTTTCATCTTCATGGTCATTCTTGTCTTAGAATCTAGAGGTCTCTAACAACCTTCAACCAGTCAGGTGATAAGAAGATGATATTGCTGTTAACAATTATTATTTGCAGGCCTGTCTACGATTATCTTTCATAAGAAATTAAAATTATAAATGATAACTTCTCGACTCTGGCTCACCGTCTTTCTGTTTTGTGATGTGGTTAGGACATCGTTCGACAATTTCTCTATAATGTTCTGGTTGCTTGTAAATTACAACAACTCTAACAAAGAATCCAGAAGTGGTAGGAAATTCTGCAACAAAACAAGATTGGTTAGCACAAGGCTTTCAATAAGGGCTGGGGATTTCTCCTGGCTATTATGGATATAGCCCATGGCTACTTTCATAGGCCACAAAAGGAAAATAGTTACATGGGACCAAAAGAGCTTCCTTACAGTTCAAATCCCTGCCTACTAAGTGCCTATACCTGGCAACTTGAAACTTTGGTGACAACCCTGATTTAAACATTTATTTAGGACATTGATGGTTTGCTTCCTTATTGGTGGCTCTAAATTAAGCTAAGCTAAGCTTACAAGATGTGGCTATGCTTAGATGCAACCAACACATCTCCCATGATCTTTAATTTGGACCACATTAATTTTCCAATGCAGTGCTCAAACTTAATGGTCATCCACTCATCCAAAACAAGTAAAAAAATCTGAAAACGAGTAGTTTTCTTTCCCACTAGTCCTCTGGACGAGTTAAGTTATCACTCTCTGAGAAATACATGTAATTGTTTTTTTTGGTATCGTACCAAAAAAAAGTGCTAAAAGCCTTGAAACAAATGAAGAATTGCCAAAGGCAAACACTTCAAAAACGAACAGGCAAAAAAGTGCTAGGCATTTTGCAAGTGACATTTTGTGATGCCACCAATGGTTTCCCCGCAAAAAGACATCTGAGAAACTAGCACAGAAATTCCATACGGATAATGTATCACTACCCAGATCTGGGTAATGCCTCTGATTGGTTGAAGCAAATTTCACAAATGGCATGACCAATCAGAAGCAGTACCCAGATCTGGGTAGTAACGAGTCATTAGTATGGAATTTCTGCACTAGTTTCTCAGATGTCATTTTGCAGGGAAACTGTTGGTGGCGTCGCAAAATGTCAGCTGTTTTCTCCAGCTAAATCAACATGGGATATATCATAATATTATATCATTGGCCAAGAGAACTATTCTCTTGCAAGACTAAAGTGGGAAACAACATGCAGGCAAGATGAGTGGCTGATCAGAAAAACTAGGATTCACTTCATCTTGCCCTCTTGCGGAACCAGCCGTATATAATAATAGAAAATGTGACTAAGCTATCTAACCTCGCATTTTTATTCTCATTGGAACAATGCACCTCATCTTCATAAACAACTTCTCAAGGTAAGGAGAATAAGTCCACTGTGCTGACTTGGTGGGAGGACTTTTTTCCTCCTCAAACCCGATGCCGAATCCCCAATTGCCTGGGAAATCTGTATTGCACACAATGAGAGGCTGTGTGTTGGGCAGATCAGGGGGAGGGGTAGTCACCATCGGAGGAAAGAATGGCTTAGTGTCTTGTTCTGAAGGCGATTCTATAGGCTCTTGTTTCAACACAGTTCTTGTAAAAGGTTGGTCAGGAGGAAAAGGAAATTCAAGCTGTTAAAATAAATAGAAAAGATTCCCTAGTTAGCAGTTTTAAAGCCTGTAGACAATAAAGTTGTAGAGATAAAATCTAGTTAATGACCTAGAGGTTCCTACAGGCAATCTTTTGAAGCAAATGCATCTACATCTACTACAACTATAGAATTATCTACAATCTTGAAATCTTGTTCACAGTGCATTCCTGAACTTGTGCTAATTTAGAGTTGTAAACAACACTTTGGTCAATCTTGGCTCTCTTTGGTCAATAGTGAACAGAAACTGTTTCAACATACTTCAAACAGCTTTTCTTTGGCATAATTTTATGAGGCAATTGGAAAAGACTTTTCAGGAATTTGGTAAGTAACTGCTCAATGAGTTTAACTGTTTTGTATGTAGATCAATGCTGTTCAAGAGAAGAGTATGATGATTGTTACACTTACCTCTGGTCTCACCACGCTTACTGCTTCTAAGTTAAACATCACATTTTCTGAAAGAAACAGAAACAGAAAAGCAAGTAGAGATTTCAATACAGGGTTGTCATTAAGAGGTGGGGTCAAGGATTTCCCCCAGCTACTAAGAACATGGCCCTTTAAAAACCTCTTGTTTGTTAGATTCCTAGGAATCCCCAAAGCCTACAATTTGGGTTTCATATACTGCGATCCCCGACAACTGTTGTCGTATATAGCTCCCAGGTACTGTGTAGCCTTCAGGGCTGTCATTAAGGGCTGGGAGCCGGGGATATCCCCACACCATTACGAACGTGATTTCCACCTACTTTATTAGGAAAATGGAAGGAAAATTAAAAGCAAACAAAATCCCCAGCTGTTTGATTCCCCACCTACTTGTGTCATTTACCTGGCAACGTAAAATTTTAATGAGAGCCCTTAGCCTTTTCACTATCTCTCTAAACCAAACGTTACTAATTTCCTCGTTAAAATACTATTTTGCAACAATTTTTAACCCAAGGAACTTCTCACTCAGTAACAATAGGCCTTGTAGTGCGTATTTTCTTTACGTATAAGAAAGTGGTTAAGAATATACCATGTATGTTGCTTTCAGTCAATTGAACGACTCTGGGTGCTTCATTATATTCCGTTTGAATCCTAAAAACAGAAAGCACTGATGGTGTTACAAGTATCTAAGACAGAAGAAGTGGGACATACATTCTCTCGGTCAATTTTGGTAAACCTAAAGTGTATAGCTCCTATTGTTCAGAAAATAATGACCATACACATATTAATAACGAAATTGTATTTTCTTGTAAGTTAAAGAATACCAAGGGTGACTAAAGCACTCTTGGTTTTAAAATACAATGTAGCTTAAAACATAATAAATTTTGTTAGTTATTGATTATTAGTGATAGAACTTTGTGTCATCCACTTCAGCCTGTAATCACACTCGTGATTAATTAAAAACAAATCAAACTCCAGCCACACCGTCATCCAATTTTGAAAATCACTTGTATCATTACAGACCGAATTGGAGACCACTCAGTCTTTTTATCTGTAGTAATCATTACTAATATTAATATCAAAAAGCTCTAATCTGATAAGCTACCAGACACACTAATTTCAGCATAAATAGGACAGTGTAATACACACCTGTAGGACACTACGCATCATGCCTAAGTAAATAACGTTTGCTGCATGATTGCATAGCCCTTTTTTCACAAAATGTGAACTTCAGCTGTACCTGAAATTCTGCATTTCACCAGTATTTATCACACCCTACCAGAAGACTTATATTAAACTGTTACCTTGACAAATCTTCTGGTTTGAGAAAGCCTTGCACTGTCGAGAAGATGTCATTAAAAGTCTCCTGACTTAGAATAGGCTCCAGTGAGGTAGTGGAATTTTGTGAATGTTGAGACATGTTATCACCTTAAATAATTCAACAAACAAATCAGTTTCTAAAAATTCTCTTTTAAAAGAAAACCTACAGATGTTTTCTTGAATAATAAAATTGGAAGACAGTGGATTTTTTTTACCAAAAAATTAATGTTAATTGGCTTTTTTATGTAACTCTCTCAAGAGTGATCAAAGTTTCCTGTGGAAAGAACCATCTTTGCTGTTGACCAACCTAAACACTTATACTGAAAGCTAATTGGTCCGGGAAGGGAAATACGCATCATTCCTTAGAACCACAAAATGGCCAAAGCCGTCATCAAAGGGTTGACATAATAAATGAGAATAGCTTTTTTTTCTGTTATCAAACCTATTTCATGATGAATTAATGGTAAAATGGATGATTTTATATCAAAAATGGCCTGTGGGTAATTCCAGAAAATATTCGTACCACACTACAGACCGTTTCCATACTTTAACCTGCCCTTGCCTTAAGAATTTTAAAAATGGGTTATCCCCCCCCCGCCCCATGCCCTTGTAATTACATAATCATTAACCCCCCTCCCGTCTGGATTTTCTTTTTTGTCAAACCCTTCGGAATTTACAGCAGGGTTCATAAATATGCCCAATTTGGGGCATTTACCTTGTGTGCCGGACACAGATGGAGTAAAACAAAAGAACAAACACCATGAAACAATTTTTCCCTTAACAGAAAACAAAGAGGTCCAGTTCAAAGAACCCCATTTGCCCTCGCAATTCCGAAAAGCTGTCCGCGGCGTGGTATGGATATTTTCAGGAATAGGCCAATAAAAAAAAAACAGGTCAAGGGATAACCAAACTACAATTCAACAGACACTGTTAAAAATGAACCTTTGCCAATGGTCACTACTCCACAAGGAGCACTTTTGTTACCCCAAGGGAGATACATTCACTTGGTTCAACCTCTCCACACACCCAAAGGTCACTGTGTTGGGGTGGAGTGGGGGTGGGGAGGGGGGCACAAAGCACTCAGAAATACTTCAGGGGCACCCAACTGTAGGGAGAAGCAAATATTGCCTCGATTTTTCTGTAGCATGAGGGCGACAATGGTCGTTCCAGTCATGTATGCTTTTTGAAGCTTATCTTATAAATTCCATAAAAATTTTTCACGTTCACCTCCCCAGGTTAGGCTATATTTCATGGAAAAAGCAAACCTAAAATTCGCAGATTGGCAAATGTGATGAAGAGACGAATCAAAAAATTCACAAATAAAATTTTTGGGAAAATAATAACTGAAGCCCTTGTAACTTTGAAAAGACTCGGGTTACCCTAGGCCGATGACCGAACAGATACATATTTTATAGCCCTCCATAGAATTCATCTCCAGAGATATGAAAGTTATCGGGATAGCCTAATAACTGTGCAATGTATTTAAGAGGAAACTGTTATTGGGTGCCCTTGCTACTTGTTTCATTGGTAGACGAAATGGTAGATTAGTGAACCAAAACTGTCCCTGGCCTTAAAAATTAATAGCCAGCCAATAACAATAAAGTTTCTGAGAGTTTCGTGACCGCAGACTGTTTTGAAATTCAATTCACCTTTGTTTTATCCTGTAAAGAATGACCACTTAACCCTGCTCCCAAAGACTCTGAGCTGAGATGTGGAGAGGTTTCACTGTATCTTGTCTGTTATTACCATTGGGTGTTAATAACAATTAACATGTCAGAGGAAAGAATGGGCTTTCTTTCCCTTTAACTTTATATCTGTCAAAAATTGAAATGCTCTTAATGAGCAATGCATTTAGTTCCAACACTTAACTGCATACGTATGATTAAAAAAATTAGGGCGATTTGAAGAACAAACAAGAACATTATTAGAAATATAATACATAAATAGAAAAAGAAACTCACTTCCGACATAAACAAAGAAATCGACCCAAAAATTTCCCTCCAAAACAATCAAGTAAACAATTAGCCAAATAACTCATATCACTCACGGTACAAAATGTTAATTCCAGAAATCGAATTAACGATCCTATTGCAGATTATACTGCTACTATTTCATTTCTGAACTATTATACGAAAAACACGGGACATAAACTAAGCATTTAACACGAAGTTCGGGAAATGTAGTTGTGTCGATCCGATCAAACTGGTTCGACATCCTAAATTTCCTCCGTGTCTATAGGTCTTCTCACCAAGTATCAACCGGACAAATCGCCAGATTTTATCTATTCTTTGCAATAAAAGATTAGTACGAATCAACATATAAACAGATTAATCGCTTACTTGATTTTTTGCCTTCTAAAACCAGGACACTATCAACCATAACACATTCTTGAACCACGCGTACAGTCGAATGTGCGAACTCAGCGCCGATATATAGAAGCGGGAAAACTGGAACGAACCAATCAGCGATGTGATACGACAACACTCTCCAAACAAGCCAATAGAAAAGCGCAAATTATCAATCCTTGTGTGCCGGACACAGATGGAGTAAAACAAAAGAACAAACACCATGAAACAATTTTTCCCTTAACAGAAAACAAAGAGGTCCAGTTCAAAGAACCCCATTTGCCCTCGGAATTCCGAAAAGCTGTCCGCGGCATGGTATGGATATTTTCAGGAATAGGCCAATAAAAAAAACAGGTCAAGAGATAACCAAACTACAATTCAAGAGACACTGTTAAAAATGAACCTTTGCCAATGGCCACTACTCCACAAGGAGCACTTTTGTTACCCCAAGGGAGATACATTCACTTGTTTCAACCTCTCCACACACCCAAGGGTCACTGTGTTTGGGTGGGGTGGGGGTGGGGAGGGGGGCACAAAGCACTCAGAATTACTTCAGGGGCACCCAACTGTATGGAGAAGCAAATATTGCCTAGATTTTTCTGTAGCATGAGGGCGACAAAGGTCGTTCCAGTCATGTATGTTTTATGAAGCTTATCTTATAAATTCCATAAAAATTTTTCACGTTTACATCCCCAGGTTAGGCCATATTTCATGGAAAAAGCAAACCTAAAATTCGCAGATTGGCAAATGTGATGAAGAGACGAATCAAAAAATTCGCAAATAAAATTTTTGGCAAAATAATAACTGAAGCCCTTGTAACTTTGAAAAGACTCGGGTTACCCTAGGTCGATGACCGAACAGAAACATATTTTATAGCGCTCCATAGAATTCATCTCCAGAGATATGAAAGTTATCGGGATAGCCTAATAACTGTGCAATGTATTTAAGAGGAAACTGTCATTGGGTGCCCTTGCTACTTGTTTTATTGGCAGACGAAATGGTAGATTAGTGAACCAAAACTGTCCCTGGCCTTAAAAATTAATAGCCAGCCAATAACAATAAAGTTTCTGAGAGTTTTGTGACCGCAGACTGTTTTGAAATTCAATTCACCTTTGTTTTATCCTGTAAAGAATGACCACTTAACCCTGTTCCCAAAGACTCTGAGCTGAGATGTGGAGAGGTTTCACTGTATCTTGTCTGTTATTACCATTGGGTGTTAATAACAATTGACATGTCAGAGGAAAGAATCGGCTTTCTTTCCCTTTAATTTTATATCTGTCAAAAATTGAAATGCCCTTAATGAGCAATGCATTTAGTTCCAACACTTAACTGCACACGTATGATTAAAAAAATTAGGGCGACTTGAAGAACAAACAAGAACATTATTAGAAATATAATACACAATTAGAAAAAGAAACTCACTTCCGACATAAACAAAGAAATCGACCCAAAAATTTCCCTCCAAAACAATCAAGTAAACAATTAACCAAATAACTCATATCACTCACGGTACAAAATGTTAATTCCAGAAATCGAATTAATGATCCTATTGCAGATTATACTACTGCTATTCCATTTCTGAACTGTGATATGAAAAACTTGGGGCATAAACTAAGCATTTAACACGAAGTTCGGAAATGTAGTTGTGTCGATCCGATCAAACTGGTTCGACATCCTAAATTTCCTCCGTGTCTATAGGTCTTCTCACCAAGTATCAACCGGACAAATCGCCAGATTTTATCTACTCTTTGCAATAAAAGATTAGTACGAATCAACATATAAACAGATTAATCGCTTACTTGTTTTTTTGCCTTCTGAAACCAGGACAGTCAACCACAACACATCTTCGAACCACGCGTACAGTCGAATGTGCGAACTCAGCGCCGATATATAGAAGCGGGAAAACTGGAACGAACCAATCAGCGATGTGATACGACAACACTCTCCAAACAAGCCAATAGAAAAGCGCAAATTATCAAGATGAATTTTGCACGTGGTCTGGAGGTCGATGAAGTGGAAAGAAAAAATATAGTCCTTGCGGCTTCGAATCCTGTTCAATGTAACTATGTCTAATGAGTTTTAATCGATATCGTGAATAAAGGAAGGCGAAAGATTAGCTGTTATTGTCCTTGAAATTAAGAACACTCTCTTCATTCATGCGATGACCAGTCTCAAGTCCTGAGAATTTCGTGACATTGAAATATTGCCCGCGATTTACACACTTTCGTGAAAAGTACAGTTGCGCATTGATTTGTCCCAAAGATAAGAAAACCTTCCAAGCTAGTGATCAGAGATACCTGAACCGTTTAGAAAACAGATCACACGCCGGAAGTACTCGAGCGAATCCTATTTTTCTCTTCTGATGACGATGTACAATTTCTTACTCTACCTTCTTCACAGCTTCGAGTCGCCACCAAGATGAGCTCAATTTTCCGTGTTTTCGGAGTAGGTGATAAGAAATATTTATAGCCAGGTTAACAACTGGTTGATCAAAAGATATCACTCCGGAAATGCATTAGGGTATCCATTGTTTTCTTCGTGTCAGTAATTCATTGTCATTTTTGGCGGGAAATGAGGCATGCTCAATCTTGCCCTTGGCCTCTCTTGCATAATTTATGCGAAATTGTTTTCAACAATGAGAAGGTTCAATGAAACGGCGACGCCCCGCTGTGGTTTATAATGGTACATCCAAAGAAGTAAATGATAAGACGCCGTCAAAGAAAGCGTCGAAAGATATACAAACACAAGTGCAGTGACTGGATAGTGATTTCTCCTATGGTGGATACCGCATTTCTAAAAAGCACCGCGCTGCAACGCACGTTGAAGGTTAAAAGCCAGGGCCCAGTTCCTGAAAGGCCGATTAGCACTAATCCAGGATTAAAATTTTGTTCCACTTTTTGTATTTACCTTCCTATGCATTGCCTAGAGTAACATTTTGTGTTGTCAATTCTTTTTTTTCGAATCAAAGGCACAACAGTATTTTGTACGCTCCAGTTACACGTTCTTATACAAGAAAACCTTGCTTAAAATTTGGCTTAATCCTGGGTTAAACTTAACCATCTTTCGAGGAACCAGGCCCTGGGTTACGGGTCGATTTTCAAGATGGATCATACCATCCTCGGGAGGTCAATACTTGCTGGAATCCTTTCATTCAGACCAGACAGATCAGCCCTTGGATCTGAAAGTTTTAATTTTTTTCTAAAGCAACATTTAACTATCTAACGGCGAGAATTAGCACACACAGGGTATAATTGTATTTTTATTTTGTATTATACATAAATCCTTCAGGGGGAAGGGGCATTACTCACATAGTTTTTAGAATAGTCTCATTCAAATTCCTAGTGATGTTTTATATTTAGTCTTTTTGTTTTGTTTTTGTTCTTATATTTATTTTCTTTTATCATTTCCAGAAAGAGCCACCTTTGCGGAAATACTGGCAATAAAGTCGTTATTATTATAAACAGCTATTTCGAGAAAGGTTGTCGGAAAAAAATGTGCACGCGACAATCCCGAAAGGTAATGTGGGATATGACCAATACACTGTTCCTGACACTGTAGCTGTCGAACCTACTTTTGTTAAGTTCATTCAGCACTCGCAGACATATGTCCATGACCTCTTCTGCCATTCTTTCAAATTTCTTTGAAAAACAGTGAACTCGAGGCCACCCACGATACATTTCGCGGTTGTCGCGTGCACTTTTTCCGACAACCTTTCTCGAAATAGCTGTATAAAAGATATATATGCTACTGTAATTGTGGTTGATTTTCTCTCTCAACTCCGAGGCCAAACCATGGACTTTGGGAGGCAAACGCGGTTTCTACTTGATTGAGAAGACCAGCCAGAGAAGGTGGGCTGTAGAAAGGAGAGTTATTTTCTGAAGTTCATATAATGTTGATGTTGCCAGGGATTTTGTTGGAGTAGTTTTCCATGTCGTTCTTGATGGTACCAAGGGCTTCCATAACCACCTGAACTGTTGTTGTTTTGAGCCCCCACATTCTCTCAACCTCGATTTCCAAGTCTTTGTATTTGCTATGCTTTTCCGTGGTTTTGACTGAGGTGTTGGTGTCCAGGGCCCAGTTGCTCGAAGCATGGTTAGCGTTAACCAGCGTTTAATACCTTGACAACGTATTGGTTTCGATACTGCTTAACCAATGGTTAAAGCTAACCATGCTTTGAGCAACTCAGCCCAGGGGTATAGTCATGTCAATGAGAAGACAGGTTTTATCCTTCTTGTTCTTATGCCGGCATATTAGCTGCTATAGTCCTTTCATTCTACACTAAGCACCTTTCTTTTTTTTAGCTGAGGATTTGCGCAGATCCCAGCATGCAGATCTTTTGGACCTCTGTCACGGTAGCTCTCTCTGATGGCTTTCTTGATGTTTTCTACCATCCCCTTCTTTAATTTACTGTACCAAAAACACCAACAACCACAGGGATCAGTACGGTTTTCATATGCCACATTCTCCGTATTTCTAGTTCTAGGTCTTTGTACTTGCTTTTCTTTTCAATTTCCTTCAGTACAATGTTTCTATCTGATGTAACAGTAATATCAATCAGTTTGCAGGTGGAATTCACTGAATCTTTAACGATGATGTCTGATCTGTTCGCTGTTATAATTCTATCAGTATTGACTGGCATGTCCCACATGATGAATACGTTTATTATTATTATTATTATTATTATTATTATTATTATTATTATTATTATTATTATTATTATTATTATCATCATCATCATCGTTGTTGTTGTTTATCTCACCCCCTAAGAACTAGGTAATCATAACTGAATGACATGTACTTGGGTAGAATCGCGGCCCGGGGGAACTCGACGAAATTTTATCCGGGAAAGGCTCCGCCCCGAGGT